GCGCTGCAAGTGAGGAAGGAGGTACTGCGGGACGAGCGATCGGGGTCCGGCGAGCCTTGCTCGTTCGAGCCGAAGGAATTGGAGCTGAAACAGAAAGGTGAGAAGATTGTAAGGTGACATATAAATTAAATAATTCTGCTTTTTTCATCCTGCGGGAGAAATTTGCATCAGAATTAATTAGGGCTTGTCTTAGCCCCTTAACTGTCCACTTCCCTATGTGAGGGATGTTAGGGGGAGCTGGGAGGTGGGAAGGCGCGGAGGAAGATGATGAAGATGATGAGTCCCTCGCTGGCGGTGGTGAGGGGAGTCTTCGGCGCCTTGGAGTATGCGGAGAGGATCTGGAGGGCCGACGTCCCCTGGTTGAGGATGGAGGCTCGATGTTGCTGTTGGCTGCTGGAGAAGGAAGGGTTGCTGGATCTGCATTTTGCGGTTGAGATGACTCCGTGATGAAAGATTCGTCGTCGGAGGGGAAGAGCTCTAACTCGGACATGACTGCACGGAGGCGGAGTCAGATGCTGAGAAATTAGTCATGAGACAGGAGGTAAGGGAAGGCTTTATTTATACTGGCTTCTTCTTGCGCTGATTGGATGATTACCTGAACATGCTCCTCCCGAACTTTGTTTACATAAAACTTCATTTAGTATTATATCAAATTTTAAAAAGGCAGTTGAATCTGGATAAGAATCGCAATAGTAACTTGCCTGCTATTAAAGCCCGACTCCGACGAGTCGAACATTTATGCGTTTCCAACAAATTAATGATGTAAACGACATCCTCACGAGTCATCTCTCAAAAAGTACACTATCGCGCTGCGCTAAAAGACTTCCCGTATCAGCTCCGCTTATGAAGCCGCGATCTAATCCTTTTAACATGAAATAAGCCTGCTCGCGAGCAGGTTCAAGCTGGCGCACCTGTTGCTATGACAGCAAGTCCAGGATGAGCATCAAAGAACCAAACAATCCAAGATCATGCCAAATCGCCAACAATCAAATCCAGCTAACTGAGTTAGCGACGTACGAAGAACAGGCCCCAGCTGAGGAATAGGGTCTTATCTAGCGAAACGATCTGTCATTTTCACACAAAAAAAAAAAATGTTTATACTTTTTTTAACCACAAATGTTCGTTGTCGTGCTGGTCTGCGACGCGCCAGGCATTACGTAATCACGTTGGAAACGTCACGCTGGACGTAGACGAAAGTACTGCCCTATTGTTTACAAGCCTGGAGAAGGAGGATCGTTCAAATTTTATTGTATGTTGAATGACATATTATGTCTTTGTGTCAGTTTATTGTTTAAAATGGTCCTTTTCGTGTGTGTATCCTGGATGTTTAAAACAATGGGGCGGTACTTCCGTCTACATCCAGAAAGTGATTACAAAAATGGCACCAGATATATTTTCTATGTAAATTTTAAAGGAACACTCCCCAGTTTGTTTCATATTAAACTATGTTATTCCCTTATCTAAGACGAGTTGATACATACTCTCTTGTCTCAGTGTGTGCACTCAATCGCTCTGGCGCGCGGCGACACTTTGATAGCACAGAGCAGTTGCTCCGTTGCGCTTAAAGAAGATTAAAGAAAATAGTCCAACGCCGTGGTACAACGAGCACCCTCGGGCCCTTAAGAGAGCAGCCAGAAAAATTGAGCGTAGCTGGAAGAAAACCAAACTAGAGGTATTCCGGATTTCATGGAAGGAGAGCTCGATCGCATACAGAGATGACTTAAAAACTTCTAGATCTGCTTATATTTCAAACCTATTAGAAGAAAATAAACATAATCCTAGGTATCTGTTTGAAACAGTGGCTAAACTAACGAAAAAGAAAGCTTCAAGCCCAGAAGTGTCCAAGCAACACAGCTGTAATGACTTCATGAATTTCTTCACTTATAAGATTGATAATATCAGGGACAAAATGATAACTATGCAACTGTCTACTACAGTATCGCATCAGGGGGTACATTGTAGGCTCCCTGAGGAAAAATTTGGTTCATTTGTTGCTATAGGAGAGGAAGAATTTTGCAAACTCATCTAAATCGACAACTTGTATGTCAGACCCTAACCGACTAAACTACTGAAAGAGATGCTTCCAGAGGTCATAGATCCTCTTCTTAATATCATTAATTCGTCTTTGTCTCTAGTATACGTGCCTAAACACCTTTAAGCTGGCTATGATAAAACCGCTTTTTAAAAAAAACGCAACTTGATCTTACAGAATTAGTCAATTACAGGCCAATCTCGAATCTGCCTTTTCTGTCAAAGATACGGGAAAAAGCAGTATCCTCACAACTGTGTTCCTTTCTTGAAAGAAATGATATCTGCGAGGATTTTCAGTCCGGATTTAGACCGTACCATAGCCGAGAGCAGTCTCAGTGCTATGGTACGGTCTAAATCCGGACTGAAAATCCTACCAATTCACAAAATTAACGGAATGCATAGCTGATATAAAAAATTGGATGACTAGTAATTTCCTACTACTAAATTCTGAAAAAACCTAGAATACTGTCTAACACTTGATGGCTGCTCTGTTAAGTCTTCGTCGTCGGTTAGAAACCTGGGGGTGCTCTTTGATACCAATCTTTCATTTGAAAGTCACGTGTCTAGTATCTGTAAAACTGCATTTTTCCATCTTAAAAATATATCTAATATAGAGCGTTTATACGCCCGTATAAATATAACTAATTATTATTCATAACGGATTATGATCAATAATTAATTATTTAATTATTTTCAGAATTTACTGTAGCAGAATCAATAGTATGATCATTTTATCAGTTCATCCAGTGAACGGAAAGCATAAACAATTATTAATTCTATGAAATATAATATCTTCCTGGCCAAGAAAGACTAATTCCCAGCTAACAGCTAAATTAAGAAATAATTCCTGGTTTGATTAGTCGAGACTGTTTTCCAAAGATGGCTCCTGTCTGTATACACTAAGTGGACTCTCTTCATAAAATATCTTCTTATTAAACGGTCTGTACACTTACAAAGTTCTCAATGCTTCGTTTTGCATGTAGGGACCCTCATTATGTTACTGTGTTAGTGTGGGGCTATTTTGAGTCTTGTTAGTGGTATAAACTAGCGATTTATTTTTACTTAATAGATGCCCCCATTACTAGCGTTATACGCTAAACAGTTTTTAGAGATAAAACTCTTTACATTCGATTATCATGAAAACAAATTTCAGAGAACGGTTGACTAGGTACCAATGTTTTATTAGACCAAAGGTTCATTTTGCGCCGGAGTTCCCCTTTAAGCTGAGACTCCTACGTAAAAGTTTTTAAGCTAAATTAAGAGTTTTCTGAGAGGATTCTTTATGTATACGGGCCCAGACTGACTTTATTAATGTCACACATCTACAGAAGATCTTATTGAGAATTAACAGAGGTTTAGATGTTGAATAGATGTTAATTAACCAATCAGTAATAACATTGACCAGCTCTACCAAACGTGGATATTTTTCCACTAAGAAACTAACATTGTTATTATGTTTTGATTGATACTGTGAGAAGCTGCTTTGATCCAATCTATATTGTGAAACGCGCTATATAAATATACTTGACTTGATGTCTTATTGAAAATGTTTCGTTTGAGGTCACCATGATGGAGATCAGTGTTTGCTTTAGTTGGGCTCTTGACTCTCTTGACTATCATTACGTTGGTTCTTGATCAGTGATTGCAGGTGTTTATGGAGAACATTTCTGCATTGATAAAGCAGATCAATATGGCTGTTTTAATAACAGACAAATGACTGCTTTTTCTGTAAGTGATTACTTAAAGAATAGAAACACTATTGAAGAAGAAGAAACTCAAGAAATGAAAAAATGAAAAACATTATTGTGTTTCAGATGCTGAATGTTTATATATAAAATACTGAATTTGTTAAGGCTTTGTTTAAAACTTGTTTTGTGTCATTTATACACTCACAGACATCAACATTCGGTATATGAAACACAACAATGGTGACATGCTTCATGCCAGCATACAAAACACATTCATGGCTCCCAGCATGCATTGCGGCATGAATTAATTATGCAGCTGAATTATTGTTTGATTGTCACCATTGTTGAGGTTTGTATGATGAGTGCTGATGCCTAAGTGTATCGTTTTTAACTATTAAATAGTTTTGGGCAATCTTACACAAATGTGTTCAGTTACAAATGATTTTTTATCACATCAATGGAGTTTATCACCTTTTTCTCAAAACACATTCAATTTCCAAAAGTGAACAAACCTGCAGTAATAGCAATTGTTTAATTTCATTCCTTTGTCTATTATTAAAGCAGGCATGTCGATCTTCTTTATCAATGCAGAAAAGTCCTCCATAAACACTTGCAATTGCTGATAAAGCATCAACGTAATGAAAGTCAAGGGTCAAGAGCCCAACTAAAGCAAATACTGATCTCCATGATAGTGACCTCAAACGAAACATTTTCAATAAGACATCAACATCTAAACCTCTGTTAATTCTCAATAAGATCTTATGTATACGTGTGACATAAAGTCAGTCTGATTAGTAATAAGTGAAGCTGGTAATGCTGTTTGTGGAGTTGTTTAACCACATCTTGAGAGAGTTCATGTCTTGTATCTCCAGTTCATCTAAGGCCGTTTCTGAACAAAGTTGTAGTTTGTGTTCTTATTACTCTTTTAAAAGATGATTGAAAGAATGTTTCAGGAACATCACAATAACCTTTAAATAATATTCAGGAAACTGGACATTTTTATGTTCTCGGAATGTTAGAAATCAACGTTCCTAGAATGTTGAATTTTAAATCAAAATTAAGTTGAAAGAACGTTTGAGGAACATTATACCTTTAAAAACACGTTCCTCGAACGTCAAGAAAACTGGACATTTTTCACGTTCTCAGAACCAACACTGAATATTTAGAGAACGTTCTTATAACAAAAATCTGTTAGCTGGGTTGGTGAAAGAAATAGTTTTAGTTAAATCTATTCTGAATGGCAAACAATTACTTTGTCAATATTTTGCACACATTCCCACATTTAATTGGTGTCTGATTACAGCAATAAACCCTTAATTCACTTAAAGCTGCATAATCTCGAGTGATAGTAAGTGTGATGATCATCTGCTAAATGAGCAACAATGACCACAATTCACTCCTTCAGTCAGTGAAGCTCCCACAGCCGTTCATGAGAGTTTAAATGCTGGAGAATATTCCCATCTTCCCACAGGAGAAGAAGAAGCAAGCAGGAGGAATTACTCCAGGAGAAACTACGGACATACTATTGGAAAGATGGAGATTAAGGAAGAACCCTGCAGAATAAAAGATGAAGATACAGAGGAACAAATAGGTTGGTGTTTTCCTTCATTCTCTTTAATGACTGATGAGGAACATTAAGATGAAAACTCACATATAAAAATAACATCTAAACCTAGATACTAGTAGAGTCAGGAGTAAACTGGATATGTGCAAAATTGAGATTTTGAACAATGTTTATTTTTGTTTCTCATGTATCCTTTTATTGAATTATGGGAATTCCATTTGTTTATCTTAGACCTGATGGAAGTGAATGAAGACAAACAGCATCAGTTTCAAAAACCGCATTATTTCACAAATGAAGATGGAAATGCAGTCGTTTCAAAGACTGAAAAAAGTTTCAAACAAGCTGAAAAATCTGGAGTCGAAGGATCTTTAACCTGTTCTGAGTGTGGAAAGAGTTTTGTATCTAAATCAAAGCTGAACTCACACATGATGATTCACACTGGAGAAAAGCCTTATACATGCACTCAGTGTGGAAAGAGTTTCACTCAGAAAGGTAATCTCAAAGATCATCTGCGCCGTCACTCTGGATTGAGATCATTCAGCTGTGATCAGTGTGATAAAACATTTGTTGTGGAATCAAGCTTAAAAAAACATTTTAATGTTCATTCTGCTGTGAAGCCTCACTTTTGCTCTGTTTGTGGAAAGAGTTTTTCACGAGTGCAACAGTTAAAAGAACATGAGAGTATTCATACTGGTGTGAGACCTTATGTGTGCTTTGACTGTGGAAAGAGCTGTATTACATCCAGCCACTTAAAAAGACACCAGAGAGTTCATACTGGAGAGAAACCGTACAAGTGTTCACACTGTGGAAAGAGTTTCTCTCATTTCGGAAACCTGAAAAAGCATGAGAGAGTTCATACTGGAGAGAAGCCGCACAAGTGTTCACACTGTGGAAAGAGTTTCTCTCAGTCAGGACACCTGAAAGATCATGAGAGAGTTCATACTGGAGAGAAACCGCACCAGTGCTCTTCATGTGGGAAGAGTTTCAGCCTATTGTCTAATCTACAACGACATAAGAAAAAGCATTGTCTGAATGTGTCTAAGTGAGCAATGTTCAGATCCATGACTTGATTTGATATTCAGATTAAGCAAAAAATGGAATTACCTTAAATATAGTAATTTAATCTAAAATTAGGAGGAAGGTTAAAATGTTTTTTTATCGCATTGTAAGTGTTGCATGTTTTGTTCTTCCGTCACCTGTATTGATCCTCTGTTGTGTTGCACATGCGCAGTAAACACTGAGTGTTACTGTATACAAGATGAACTGAACAGTAAAGCAACAATGTGAAAATACTCGTGTCAGTGTCATCGCTCAAGCAGTGCATGGTCATCTCATACAGATAAAATTATATTTCAGAAAACTAGTGTGTTGCCATCAAATTTATGAAGGGATGCGTTTTGTTTCTTTGGGGCTGTTTACACCTGGCCACTTCATGCGTTTTCTCAGATCAGATAGCTATCTGATTTATCAAAACCATTCCATTTACACCTGGTCACATAAATGTGTTTTTGCAAAATGGATATAAATCCGATCTTCAATTCCCGCGCTATATGCAGATTTGAGTGCACGTCACCGAAAGCAACAGATATTGCTGCATTTTATTGATCATCAGCTAATTTCAAAATCAAAGATAGCAATAAGAGAGAGTATGGAAGCAAATAAGAGACATAACTATTTGAAATTTAACAGCCACTGAATACTTAAATATTTTATTTTGAAAAACATTTATCTGAATTTATTTGCTCTGAATTCACACCTTTGAAATTATTTTACTTTTTAAACCATGCGTCTGAATTTATTTGTTTTCAAATTTACCTCTGAAATTTAAATAGGCCTATGAAATTTTTTGATTTCTATTTTAAAAACCTGAATTTCGATTAATATTTTTTCAATGCTCACAAATTCAGATAAAAAAAAATCAACTTACAGAATTTCATATAAAATACATTCAGGTTGATTAAATTCGACTGCTCAAATTCAGATCGAAAAATTTAAGTTAAATATTCACATGGTAACATCCGGGCTACCCAGGATAGGCCACGCCTACACCGGGGGGAAAACAATCCAACGGTCTCCATTGATTTGCATTGCGAGAGGCTGCCTCCTCGTCATTTATGACTTGTAACAAAAAACAAATCAATGTTTAAAAGCTTTTGTGAGACAAGGTGTACAGCAAAAGAGCTAAATAACCCAGAAATGATTTTTTTATAAGCTGTCGGCTACTACTCTGACTGTGCGTTCACACCGGACGCGAATAGCGCGTCAAATTCGCGTCTGCCGCGTCTAGTTTGACGCTTGACCACTTTGTGTTAATTCGCGCGTCAAGAGTGAAACTGACGCGCGTAAAAACAGAAGTTTGAAGCGAAATTTACGCGCGTCAGAGGCGAAAAGTTTCGAACCCCGTTGGCGGCCATCTTTTTACAAGATGTCTGTTGTTGATCGGTCATTTATCGTGAGAGTCACCGCTCTGTATTTGCTCTGGAGAGCAGAACAGCGACGTAGGGATCATCATCGCCGTATTTGGGTCCACCCGACCCTTCGGAGGCGAACCCAGTTCGGCGAGTTTCACCGTTTGCTCCAGGAGCTGCGCCTGGATGACGGCCGCTTTCAGCGGTACTTCCGCCTCTCCCGTGCCCAGTTCGATGACCTGCTGTCCCGCATCGGAGCGAGGATCACCCTCCAGGACACCAACTACAGGCGCTCTATCCCGGCTGCGGAGCGCCTGTCCATCTGTCTTCGGTTAGTAAAATGTATTTGATATTTTAAATACAGTATATTCAATATGCTAACATATGCTATCAATGTTTTTTTTTAACTGTGTTCGGATACCACTGTTGGCGCTCTTTTTAGTGATAACGTTAACGTTACTCAGTTAACTGACATAAATATTCTCTTGGCAGACGTGATACTGTACATGTTTCTCTGTATAAACACTGTGATCTTTCTAGTGATTCTGAGTTAACTGCTATAACCTAGACAGTAAAATCTTTCTTGTGATACTGAACCTAGAAATTAAAATATTCATGGCATACGTGATACTGTCATGTTTCTCTGTATAAACACAGTAATCTTTCTAGGGATACTGAGTTAACTGCTATAACCTAGACATTAACCTAGAAATTAAATATATCTGTAAGCAATATGTAGTGCTTGATTATTGTCTATATGTAGTGCTTGATTATTGCCATTTTAATATACCATAAACCATTTAATAGTATACCTGTTGATTGTATAGTTTAATATGCAACTACAAGTGTACTTGTAATAATATTTATAACAATGTTTTCTAGGTTTCTTGCCACTGGGGACTCATTCAGGACGATAGCGTCCAGCTACCGGGTTGGTGTCTCCACAGTATGCCAGATCGTCGCCCAGGTAGTGGCTGCCATCTGGGACTGCCTTGTGGAGGACTACATGGCTGTTCCCACCACCGATGACTGGAGGTCCATTGCCGAGGGATTTCAGGAGCGGTGGAACTTCCCTCTGTGCTGTGGAGCGGTGGATGGGAAGCATGTGGTGATCAAGGCACCCCCCAACTCAGGATCCCAGTTCCACAACTACAAGGGAACCTTCTCTATCGTTCTCCTTGCAGTTGTGGATGCGAAGTATCGCTTCCGGGTGATTGATGTTGGGGGATACGGCAGGACCAGCGACGGTGGGATTCTTGCCAACTCCGCCTTTGGACAGGCTCTCCGGGCTGGCAGACTTCATCTTCCTCCTGACCACCCTCTACCTGGTGCTGAAGACAGAAGACCCCAGCCCCATGTCTTTGTGGCTGATGAGGCGTTCCCGCTGCGGAGGAACCTCATGCGGCCCTTCCCTGGACGCACCCTTCCTCCAGAGAGGCGTGTCTTTAATTACCGCCTCTCCAGAGCCAGGCTGGTGGTGGAGAACGCCTTTGGCATCCTCTCCTCACAGTGGAGGATGTACCGCCGCCTCATCGAGGTCCACCCTGAAGTTGCGGAGAAGTGTGTGAAGGCGACGTGTGTTCTCCACAACTTCATGCGGTATTCGGAAGGGAGAGAGGCACCTGCTGTGAGGGGCGCGGGACATGCTGGAGAGGAGCCACTGCCAGGTCTGGGTCGGGTTGCGGCCAACAACTCCTCCAGAGAAGCACTCCAGGTGAGGGATGCTTTCATGGCACACTTCTCAGCGGAGGGAGCAGTACCATGGCAGCCGACGGAGTAGCATTTGAAGTCCTCCTCATGACTTCCCCACAACGGCTCTTTTAAGAGCCACCCACAAACCTATAAAGAGCATAACTTTCTAAAAACTGTTTTCTTCCATTATTATATTTAGTATTTTTTTCCAGGTTGTCAGCATCAGTTCCAGGCTGTCAGGTCCACAACATGCACATGTATTAAGTATTTTTTTAATAAATAAAATGGAGCCAGCCTCCAAAAGTAATTAACCTGTCATTATTTTTCCCCCTCACTCAACACCATTGAGCCACTTTTATACACTAAAATATGTTGGTTGTCTTTACATTACAATGATGTTTCATATAATCTATATTTAGATATGGACTAAATAACATTCAATACAAAATTAATACGTCTCGTATATAAATAATGAAGTTCTGTGATAAAAGATTTGCTTTGTTATGCATAGAACCACACCAGGCATTTAGTCAAATTGCAAAATAATTTATTAAGGCCAATGAAATAAAATCAATATGAACAGAAAAATAATGTGCAAACTATTTACATGGAGACAGTAATAAAAAGGACCTCGCTTGGAAGGTGGAAAAGCCACAGGGAACAACATGTAGGAGAAGAGGAAGGAGGGCGTTCTGCGTTTCCTGCAGAGCCTGCTGCCTCATTTTTTTTTAAACTACTCTGGGGAGGGGGGGTCAAATTGCTCCAAATTTAGCACAATGGTGCTGTTTTCCATTAATAATTTGTACATTTTAAATTTAATGTTTTCTTTCAGGTGAGGCGGCATGCTCTGTAAAAAAGGCAGAAGGCCGAGGAGGAAGTGTTCGTCTGCGGACAGTGGCGGTGGTGTTGGAGGTCGCGCCGGAGGTTGCAGCGGAGGTTGCGCCTGAGTTTGCGCCAGAACAGCAAGAAGTTGCTGTTCCACCTCCGACGGACCATCCTGTGACCGCTCACGGGGCCGCCGACGGGCTCTCCTCCTCTGTTGGCCTGTGAAATAAAAAAATACAACACACGGTGCAATGAGAAGGCAGAAAGATGATACCTGATTTTCAAGTTCACAGTGAAAAAATTAAATTTAAAAACAAAATTTTCTAGATTTTGTGAGAATAATATCTGTGCCTGTGTGAGTGAAATAGACAGTGCTTAAATGCAAGTGTGATATTGTTTTGAACTTGCTTTAACATATATTAAGTAATTAAAGTTATACTTCAGACATATACATATATAAACATGCAAATGAACAGTAACTAAAAAGTATGTATGCAGATGATTGGTTGCATAGATTGCAATGGTCTGCATTTACAAAAACAATGATTATTAGTAAGGGGACTAATGTTTTGTGCACGTAACATGTTGAAATATTGTTTGTACTATTGCCTTCACCCACCTGTAGGTTCAGCAGAAGGGGCTGAGGGACCAGGGACTGGGGAGACAGGAGAAGAGGAGGGGGTTCTTTGACCACCCTCTCTCTGATCAAATGGCTCTGTCAAGACAATATTAAATGTTAATACATTGGTTACAATACTCAGAGAGATTACATTTCTTCATCTGTAAACATGACAGCATATATGCCATGTAATTTGGGTTTATTGGAAACACACCTATCACTGTCTCCCCTGATGGTTCTCCTAGGTGTCCCTGGTCCTCGAGGTGGTCGTCCTCTCTGATCTGGGCCTCGACCCCCTCCATATTACTTGTTGTCTCCCTTGGGGTGATGAAGGGGTCGAGGAATCCCAAAATCTGAGCGAATTTCCACCTCTTCCCAGACCCTGCTGCTGACCCACTCCTCTTGTCGGTCTCCTTCCTCTTTTCCTTCAGGTATGTGTCCCTGAGGCTTTTCCACTTTTTACGGCAGAAATCCTCTGAATAAACACATTATCTTGTTAGCGAAAATTAGTTGTATATTTTAGCAGGAAAATATTTGTAAAATAGCTGCTAGCTGGTTAGTAGGTCAATAACGTGACTCAAAAGTAAAATTTTGTACATCTTAA